GGCTGCTCTTGTGTGATGCTTAAGCACGCTGGGCTTGCAATCGGCCGCCTCGATTCAATCTCCTGGTGTGGCAGTTGAAACAATAGGCAAGTTGATAATTGGTTTTTTACCCTTCTATCTGGCAACAAAACTGACACCTTTTTTTACAAGGAGTCATGTTTGCATAGACCACAATACCTGCAGTCATAATGCAAACAAAAAACATAACTCTGATAATGTGCGCTGTTCTTGAAGTTGATTGGTCCACACCCGAGACAGCTTTCCTTAGAGCCTAGTCTCACATGGGTTGGACCAGATGACGCCAAAAGGCGCACAATCTCAAAGGCAATGCACCATCAGAGTATGAGAGCTCGGGGTAAGCATTTACACCATTGGAACCTCATTTGCCAGTAAAAAATATGATAATTATCAGAGTTATGTTTTTTGTTTGCATTATGACTGCAGGTATTGTAGTCTATGCAAACATGACTCCTTGTAAAAAAGGTGTCAGTTTTGTTTCCAGATAGAAGGGTAAAAAACCAATTATCATATTTTTTTTTACTGGCAAATGAGGTTCCAAAGGTGAATAGGCAAGTTTTTTCATATGGTTTAAATGCCCACGTGTTTCGCTACGAGATTCCCCTCCGAGTTCCCCCTGGGTATGCCACTGGCACGAGATTGTTCCCAACAAGTCGATTGGTTTTGCAGTCAGCGCTGTGTTTATATTTTCGTGTCTGTCGGTATTATGGAGTTTGTGCACCGTGTGCTCGCGGGGACATTTTTTGACGGCCGGCCAGTGGTGTGCAGAGTAAGTTCCCTCATTCATTTGCTGGGCATATCGCAGGACAAGTCTGCTCAAAAACATTATGTCAAGCATTTTGCCGTTAGCCATGCAGCCTCACATTTCTCATAACCTTTGCACGTTGCTGTGGCTCAGAGCTTCGGTAAAACGCATTACAGTACACCGTCACATGAGGTTTGTTTTTTATTCCAATGATTAAATTGCGCTATCAGCGGTACGTCATGAGATGAGGTTTCCATTTGGGAAATCTCACAAAGCAGTGCATCATGACACGCGGAAGGAGATACAACAGATCTCCTTCTGAGTTCCCTTCCAGTGACATATTTTATCCACAATGGGGATTGCTGCACTTTCTCACTTACCAGAGTATAGGGGAGAGAAATGCAAAAAATTTTCACAACTAAATTTTGACAAATTAAATGAAAACCGAGTGGTCAGCCTATGTTAAAACTTGTAACCTTGGTTGACAACTGTCAAATTGTCTCGAGACGACCTAGTGTAATCATGAGCTGCTAAAGTCGATACTTGAATCCAGGGTCTCGCCTGCTCGATGCTCTGATGCCAGAGCCACCTTGCAAAACAATTTTTTTTACATCCGAAACACCTCTTATATTTTTCGTTGTTCAATACAATCTTCATTTTAACATCTGAAGCTTTCGTGAGAATATGATACAATTCAGATAGACAAGTTAACACGTGAGGCTATTATTTTAATTGTCATAGATTATAATGTTGTCATTTATTATTTGGAGGAGTTCTTATAAATAGCTTAAGAGAGAGAGAGAGAGTTTCCCATGACGTTTTGTTTTGCTGTTTGTAAAGTTATTTATTGCGCCATTGTAAAAGTTGTCTTAACTACAGGACAACACACACCGCATTGCCCACCAGAGGAAGCAAACCTTGGCACAGACCTGGCTGATATTTATGAACTGTTTCTAAATGTTGTCTTTTGTAAAGCCATTTTAACGCATTGCTATGGAAACAGTGCGGCTTGCTCAACTCACGGAGAATATACTGGCTGGCCGGTATCACCCATGCTTTCCTCCTCCACAAGTTTGTATGTATGTTTAACCTTTTTTTCGCACCGCTCGTGAAAACGAATTTCTTCAGAACTGCTTTTGTGTGTTGAGATTGTTGTATTTCCCCTGCGTCTGTGATTCACATGGTTGGCTGCATACGGTGCGAAATAAGTTCAACATACATACATGCAAACGTGCTACTCGGAGGTTCGGGGGAAGCACAACACACTAAAAAAAATCAGTTCTAAGAAATTAGTTTTCCATCCAGATTTTAAAGTTCATAGCTCCAGTGGCATCCGAATATTCAAAGAGCATTCCAGACGGCCGCAGAAGCCCAGCTGAAAGCACGCGATGCGGTGACCATCTTTGTTCGATGGTTAGCCCAAATCCGCTGAAAGGATAAAATTGGCTTGCCAATTGAGTTACTGCAGTGTTTTCTTTTTTCACAGTGGCTGGTAAACAGAAGCTAGCCGAGGGGACGCTGCGGTTTTGCGTGCTCGACTGACAACCGTGAGGTTACGAGTTCAAATCCCGGTCATAACTTGACTCTGCCCTTCATCCATCTGGGGGTTGATAATTAAGGAGTAGACAATTAAGGGGTTGAAAATTAGGGAGTTAATAATTAAGTGCAGTGCTACTTCGTGGGAGTCAGAAATGGAGGTGACTCATGCTGCCATGTGATTGTGGAATTGCCACAATTGAACATGGCCTGTGACGAGGAAATAGACAACATCCCATGTTTGTTAAAGTTGTAAGTATCTTTGACGTTCACAATGAGTAACCAGAAGCAACCATGGATATATTTATTCGAACAGCTTTCTCGAACGGTGGCAGGGTGTGAGTACAATACAATCTCCATTATATAATACAATGAAAGAGCCTCCATAGACTAGTAGTCTCTTATCTAAGGTAGGCCTTGGTAAAAATAAATCCATCATACCAGCAATAAGCTTCTTGGGCGCAAAGGTAATACTCAGAATTAAACATCACAGCAGCACAGCAAGTAAACCGATTATTTGAATGAACAAAATCATGATGATACACTCTACATTTTTACTCAAGTTCTACATTCGTAAAACAAAGTTGCAAGTAAAGTAGAACCTCGGAGATCGAACGCCCCAGAACTCGAACAATTCGGTGATCGAACTAAATTTTCGATCATTTTTTGCCCCGGACATCGAACAAAAATTCGGAGGTCGAACAACTGGAAAGAACCGGTTTGGGCCGAGACACGTAGCCATGGCGACCGATACAAAAGCGAATGACCCAGTTTACACGTCGCTCTCGCCCAGTGCAGACCCGCAAAACATCGTTCCGTTAACTTTTTTGTTAATTTCATTTATTTTAGTGTTTTTTTGTGTATATCCTAACACAAAGGCTCATAAAAAGGTTAGTAGCAGTTATAAGCCAAAAAGGAAGGTTTCGTTTTTATGGAGGGGGACTCCCCTTCCAAGTAACACTGACACCTCCTCCTCCCCTCCTCACCACCTTCCACTCAAGCCATCCACTCTCCTTACTACAGGTAAAGTGAAGTTCAATGTTAATTTATTCTATTAATTATAACTGTGTTGCTTGTTTTTTGGATGCTTTTATCCACTGTACTGTATTTTAATATTGTAAACTTTGTGTAAAAATGGCCCATAATAGGAGCATCCTTGGGTGGGGAACCAATCTATGCTATTTCCATTCATTCTTATGGGGAAAATTGATTCGGTGTTCGAACAAATCGGTGTTCGAACACGGTTTTGGAACGAATTAAGTTCGATCTCCGAGGTACCACTGAATATGGACTAAATGACAATTGGCATAATTAACACACGTTTTGGATTTTCCATGTTTTTGTTTTATCCGGGCCACCATTCATCCACCGTACTCCGATCGAGAGTTGACTCGCTAACAAAGCGAGGAAAGAAATAACGGCCACAAGAGTTGGCCATGAAGGGTCCTTTAGTGTTTTGCTAAAGCTCGCAAAGGCTGCATATGTAACGAGGTGACGGATCTACATGAGGTTAGAATGCTGCACAGGCTATAATAACATTTAAAAAAGCATCTTCTTCATCGTGATTCCAATGGAGCCAGAGTTTATCTTGCCAAAGCCAACAATTATCGTGCATTTCAAGGCGGTTGTGTCAACACTTCCTCTCCCGTTGCTACATCCACTGTAAACACATTCGTAGAAAGCAACATTTATAAGCCCGGATCGAGACACTTCTGCCATACGCTTCTATAATTAATTAAAACTCTGAACGTGGTTCTCCAAACATGGGGACATTTTGTCAATGTGTTTGAGCAATCGCTTTGAGGTGGCATTTGTAGAGCCATAATGGGATATGTAGCTTGCAACAAGCAAATTGGTGCAATTGAATCTCATGACCTGGCGTTTTTCTTGATGTTTCTAAGTATGCGTGTATGCTACGCCCCATCTCAACCCAGCAGTGTGAATGGGTAGACCATAGTTAGTTCGTCAGCCGGTCGTGTGTGGTGGGGTAAAGTGTGGGTGCTCCCACCTTTTGAAAGATGTCTGAAGAATGTGGAAGAGTAGGCCAAATGCCCTCTCTCATCCCCCACGTGGAGGGCCTTCAAATCAGTCGTGGTGTGAATAAAAAAATGCTTGGCTCTACAATTTACACGTAAAAGCAACGTTTGACATTTCCAGGAGAAGGTTGTTGCAACAAACGTTGAGATCTTTATTTCCTCACAGTGATGTAATAAAAACCTGTCGTTATGTTTAATAACCATGTTAGTCATACGCTAAATCATTCCACACTTAATTTCGCTTCAGCAGTCGCGCATGAGAAATTATATTCAATTCCTAAATCACGACTGTCATGCGTTCCTTGTGAGCATAGCACATAAATAGTGGTAATGGTACAAAAACTTGGCCTTACAAACGTGAACAATATTTATCGGACATTCTCACAAGAAGGTGAACTAAATATTATGGAAATTTAATCATGTTTAAGACACGTGCAAATTCGCAGATGAAGGTAAAAATCCACGAACATTAATTTGTGATTCAGGATCAAGTTCTCATCTCATGGCATTGACCAAATATGCCAAAGCAAAACTCTCCCGAAATTTTTTTTTGAAACGCAGTTTTGTCCAGGGTAAACATTCATGATAATAATTTACAGCTCTCTGCCACGTGACATGTTTCAGTGGCGTGGATGGGTTGACCACTCTTCACCAGAAATGCCCAGTGTGTGTTGAACGATTGGGAGTGGAGGGCAGCGCTGTTAATTTTCGCTCGCCACTGATGTACATCGTGGCTGGAAATCAAACTCTGGCCAACCGGGTTTGTAGCACTTCGCGTTAACCACTGTGGTACCACTCTGCCTGAGGTAAGTAAAGACGCATCTGTATTATTATCCCTACAAAAGTTGAAATTAATGTGTTTTAAAACAATATTAACATTTTCATTCAAATAAAAACTTGACTTCACATAAAACTACAGTGTTATTAAGTGCCGCTGAATTCTGAGAAATCCCGAGTGGAGCTGTGTATGTATCTGTATATATATATTTTGAAACCCATCATCATTTGGCAACGAAACCCGTTTTTTTTCCTTCCCAAAATTGGACACGAATAGCGAAAAAAACGAACAAAAATATATTCTTATTCTTGTGCCTCATTGCATAATCCGTGCCCTCTGTCCCGGCAGCTTGGGATGGAGAAAAACAATGATGAAGTTTAGCTGTCGGAGGCAATGGAGGTGTTTACGGTTTGCCCCATTGACGTCCCTATTAAACATTTCCACCCGGGCACATACGGAGAACATAAATGTGTAACAAAAAAATGAGTGCAAAGCTCTCTCTCTCTCAATGTCTCCTGCGTAGTGCCTCGTAAAACAATAAACGAAACGTGCTTTGCATTACTAACGGTCAATGATGATGTATTTATTACTACTATTACATGAGCACAACGTGAATTAGTGTAAGCCGTTTAAGTAGGGACACGCACACAAAGAAAATATGTAAATGTATATTGCCGTCATCATCATAGTCATTGCTTTAATGAGCGATGCTCTATCTACTGCTGCATAAAGATGTCCCAAAAAAGTGTGAGTCATCGGGTTTGTTTCACCATACTTCACTATACGTGTCAGAGCCGGTTGGTAAATGTATGAACAATTAGTTTTACCGTATTATTCACTGCTAGATTAAGGCTTCCCCAAACAGTTGCTATCCATCACATTCCTGGAATGCCACGATCCATCTCACTCCTGAACATTAACCTATATTATCATTCCATCTCTGTGATGGTAGATTTCTCAGGCATGTTCCGGACCTTTCGCTGCCATTCCATCAACAATCTCATACAAAAGTTATGCTGTTCCGTATATGGCTATCTGCCACTATGGGAGGATGGGACGGCACCTGAATCAGATGATGAAACATTAGAGTCTGGAGTCTACTTAATACGTGATTCTTATGGGGCCTATAAAATAAGCACCACGTTTGGGGGATGTCAACAGCGTTACCCTGTGATATTCTTGTCCCTACCAAGGAATGTAGAATTTCCACAACAGTACTGGCTCAGGGCTGCCAATGGTGTTGAGCATCTTACAAAGCTTGTACAAGCGTGAGAAAAAACTTTCACTTGTTAATCCAGTCACGCACAGTGGTGGAGCTTCCTGTGTAAAGATGAATATGCTGTATGTCTGCATGTCAAGATGGTTAAGATCATCGCTGCCTCACTGTTGCAAGAGAGTAATGGAATGTTGGCAAGCTACAATCTGGGACTCAGTCCTTTACGTCAATTCAGCATGCTGTGACTGTTTAGAGCTGAATAATGTAAAGTGGGGGGGTTCGATGTATATTTACACACATCCTGTTTATTTAAAGAAAACACCACACTGCCAATATGAATATCATCACAGAATGTCTGACCTCAGGCCTAAAACGTTTAGCAACCCGAGCAAGGTCTCACTTCCATGCACGGCATTTTAAAATCGCAAGGTGTGAAGTGGTTGGGTGCCCGAGAGGTCAGAGTGCTGAGAGGACACCGCTGAGATCCTGGGTTCGAATTCTGGGTTCGAAATGTGGTTAGACCGATATTTCAAGTCCAGCGAAAGTCATGGTCTCAACCTGGCCATCAGCAACCGCACAAAAATGACATCACATTAATGGTGATTTTGCACTTAATTTGGTCAAATCACAGCTCTGAGAATTCGAATATCGGTTTTCTCATATGCGGAACGGTTGAGAAAGTGCTGCTCATTAATGTGTGGACCCGAGGTCACTTGGAGAGATGTCAGAAGTAGCACTATGACATCCACTTCCACGGGCCACTCTGAAACATGTGGTGACAACACTGTTCTGCGACAGATCCCGAAAGGATGCTTTGTCTCCGAGCACATTTGAAATAAAAATGAGGGAATTAAACAAAATATATTAGATAAACTCCAAATTCCCCTGCCCCCTCAAAAAAAACACGAGAACACTTAGAAACAAAGTGCACTGAAGTTTTCGTAAGCTGTGATGCTGCCACCTGCTCTAATGACATTTGGCAACGTTGCTGTTCGCACCCAGACCATCACACGCTCGCTCTCAGGAGGGAACCGAGCGCACAAACACGTGCTCGCAGAAGTCAAGCGTGGTAAACATCTCGCTCTGAAAGTCACTGCACGTGGGAGCGGCTTGCAGCTCGGTACGTATCCTCGGAGACAGCATTCCCTGCAGGAAAAATATCCTGCAATTTATGGGTTTTCTCCGTGGCTCGTTTTCAATTATTTTTTTGGAAACCTGCATTTGGGATTAATTTCCGATTCAAAAGGTCAATTGACATCCCACTGCGTGTTGTTCTGCTGCATCTCCTGTACGTTTTTTTTTCTATTTTAAAAAGATGAAGAAGTTTCAAAAGTCAAACAACGAAAAAAGTCTCACCCGTAAAGAGCTGGGGTGCAGCAAACCCAATCACCAGATGGACTCCACGTCACTCGCCAAGCCTCAGCGGCTCTCACGGGAAAGGAATTAAATTGCTAAAAGCCTTCCTTGCCCTAATTTTATTTCTTTCCCGCACTCGGTGGGGCACGCAGGTTTTTCAGGCGGCTGCTCGACACGGGGCAGTGCGAGAGAGAGAAGGAGAGAGAGCTTAGTGGCATTTGGCCAGGACATTGATCCCGTCGGGTCCGGATGGTGTTTTCGGAAAGAAAAAAAAACCGCAGCGTGGCTCCCCTGCCGAGGTGGCCCAAAATTGCCCCCACATGTCGGCCTCGTTAGAGTCGAGAATCGCGGTGCACCGACGCACAAGGACTAAAATGAATACAGAACCCCGCCCCCCAAGCCACCCCCCCACCACCCCAAAATAAAAAAAAAACTTTCTCTGTCGCAATGCTACGAGGCATCCGTGAGGATGTTTTCTTTTCTTATATAGACACGGAAAGAAATACTAATTTCAGTTTTAGACCCACAACCGACAATAAAGCAGCGTCGATTAAATATGAGCTGCAACAGTGTTGTTGTCATGTAATAATTTGAGAAAGAATGTGTCTCAAATGCGTAGCATTGGAGAAAGGTTTATACATGTGTGGGCTATTTCAGGAATCTATTTGCCGTTTGTTGTATTCTTATTTTTATTCTTCTTTTTTTACCCAGGTCTGTGTACATCTTTCTACTCTGCTAAATATGTACACATTCATACACGTGTATATATAGGCACATTTGTAATTGAGTGTTTACTTTCAGAGGTGCTTTCTGGACAGAAAAAGGGGCAATTTTGACCATTGGATTTCCCATTGTGCCCTTGGCGACACGAAGTATCACTTTTCTGTATGTATATGCATACAACTCTCTGTGTGTATTGGTAATCTTATCTATATCCAGCTTGCATTAACTTTCCTATCTGATGAGTTTGCCATCGTTTCTAGGATTTTTTTCACCGTATTTTATATGAGGACATTTCTATAATAACTTTCAATCGATGTATCAATTACAGCATTCACTCAATAACTCACGTATACTGTCTTGTGTAACGGGGATGATGGACAAAAACACACTGGTATAATTTTTAACACCAGTGGTAAATAAGCAATGGACATTACAGCGTTGCCTCTTATACGCAGGAGGTGAGAGCGAGAGCAGAGTGCACGATGGGCAAAGGCAGATTGTACCGTTACTCGTTCTGTTTTGTGTTAAACATTCGTTTAAAGTTTGTTTAGCATCGCACGTGTCCTGTACAACACTGAGTTTTTTGTGCGCGCCCCCGTGGAACAAGATCCAGCTACAGGGTTCGAGTCCAGATGGGGATACTCAAAGCATCACCAAACTCTTACCTGATTATAACCAAATATCTACCGCTCGTAACGGCTGCCACTGCCACCACCCATCCACACACATGAGCTTTCACCTGCCACGGAGGTCACGTTAATTACCAGCTGCATTAATTATGACCTTCCTAGCAGGCTGCAATTAATAATGGAAAGCACCTCTGGGTGCATGCTTCGGTACAGGTCGTCTCGCGCCATCCCCGGGCATTTGGGAATGAGCGCGGGGTCGTTGATGTTGGCATGAGCGACATTGAACGGGCTGCATCTCTCACTGGGCAAGCCGGGTGGGTGGAGGGGGGGCACTAATAGTCAACTTGCTGCGTTAGTCCTCGAGTGGACGTTTGGAAAGCGGTTGTCATGTTGGAAGAGACCGATGGGGGATTACGGGGATGGGAAGCGTTGTGCGGGTGTCACATTTATCAGCGCGCTGCAGCGATCGTTGCCAGCACGGGTGGGTCCCATCTGCTAAAGGTTACAGTGCTGGCAAGTGCAGATGGTGAGGCTGAGCTTCATCATTTCTCTGTCGTTAACAGAGGGACCATCCTTGTATATTTTTGTGAGGGAAGGCGACAGCATGAGGAGCCGTCATCGCCAGTAGTGGATTGATCATGGCTGAAGATGATAATCATGATCGCGTATTTTCAGCCAAAGGGCATTGTTAATGACAATGGTGTTAAAGCGATTTATAAATTGACATAAACTAAATTCAAAACACTTTTTTTCTAACCAGGTAAGGCCCACTGAGCTATATGGATTTTTTTTCAGAAGTGACCTGGTCACAAATGATCGCTCAGCGAGGTGGCTTGTCACGTGGAAATAATTTATCGCAGCCAAATACTCTAAACGCATGTTTCTAAATGTGGAGGGAAAAACTGAAGGACCCGGAGAAATATCTACGCTACCATGGGGGGAACATGCAAGCTCCAAATATTCAGGGATTAGGGTCAGGATCGAACCCACAATATTAGCGTTGTAATTTTCTTAACAATGTTTGACCTATGTCAAAGGTCATGTAGCATAGATTTGCCTGCCCCTGAATCTGTTTATTCGTCACAGTACTTGCGTGTTGTTGATGTACAGAGTTGAGTAAGGTTTTACTTTTGACCGGAGGAAACCAGGAACTTATGTCGTATTGTTGATGAGTTTGACCTAGCCAGTGCCGGATTATCCTAGCAGCAAAAGTAGCTACATATGCTACAGGCCCCGAACTTCCAAGGGCCCCGCGCTAAATGCTTTCAAGCTATCAATTCTGGTTGAGTGATTCTGCACTTGCTCTATTACTATAGCACTACACTACCTTCAACTTTTATGAACGACTGAGTGTTTAAGGTTAGCGATTTGTCGTATTATCTGGCTGCATAGTAAATGAAAAAATACAATTACTTTACTATGCAAGTAAAACATATTGTGTTTTATTATTTGAGTGTTTTTTTTTTCATGGCCCCTTCATGACATATGCTACAGGCCCCGCACTAGCTTAATCCGGCACTGGACCAAGCTCAAACAAAACTTGATCAAATGTTTTTCTACACTCAACATGCCATTCGTGAATATTTTTTGAATTGCGACTTCGGAATAATTTAGCGAGATGAAAATTAAACCATTAAATCGCAAAGGCATTTTCAAGTTGACGTGAAAAGATCCTTGGCTTGCAATTCATAGCGATACTTTATGCCGTCCCATTATGGCAAAAAAACATGTACATCTTCATTTCTCTTTTGGACAAGATGACTGCACAGTTGCCGCTCTCACGGCCACACAAAACACCGAGCCAGCCAGTCTGGTCACAAGAGCGAAGGGCTTTGGGTTCGTGAGACGTATTCATCCCAAAGAAAGTGCATTCTTCAGCAGCAGTATGGCTCACTGTAAGGTATTATTCACTCTGCGTGGCATTAGGTGATGACACATTGATCTATCGCCGCTGCTTTTGGGCTTCAACAAAGGCCACCACGCACCTTATAAGTCCAGAGTTGTTAATGGGGCCGAGGTGGTGTTTGGATTCGCTTCGATCTCGGTGCCAGCCACTAACGGGGAGAAAAAAACACATTTTAGCACTTCTAATTTGACAGCTGAGAATGTAAGGGACTTATTATTGATTCTGTTGTCATAATACTATACACCAAAAAATCCCTATCAATACCAAAATGATATACGAATATAATGAGCAGGTATTAATAAAATCAGCTCAGGTGCATCGGCTAGATGGAATTGTTGTATTGCGAGAGACGCTGATGGCTTGGGAAGGCCTTCATACAGCAGTCGGATAGACCACGGCTAATGATGATGATGAACAAATGCTGATATAAAACATTTATCCAGAAGGGCATCAGCTGATGAACTGAAACACACGATTTTGTTTAATGTGGAGAGAGAGAGACCTTTGTCCATTTATTTATCTATCTATTATGTATGATCCTCGAAGAGAACGCGTGATTAATTGTAAGACAATACTACTGTTGCTAAGTGGGGCTGCTTAAGTGCCTCACACTTACCTATAACATCTGGTGACACAGCAGCATTTGTTTTGCAGGTCCGACCTCTGCTGCCAGAAAGTGGAAACCAGTACAGAGTTTGCCCACTTGAACTAATTCTGCCGAAAACACATTTGTTTGGGAGGTCAACATAACCATAGATTGAAATGATATGTTGATTTTGTGTGAAGCTGTGGACTTTCATATAGAGGGTATTTTTTTGGTTAGATTGCGTAAATATCTAAATGTGTCGTTAAAACCCGCCACCACCCAACACAGAACGTGACAATTCGTCACGAGTACAGTACACCGGTGTGTTGGAGAGTCAAGCCACAACATTTACAATGTGAGTACGACGTTTCGCCAGTAATTACAACTAGCTTCATCAGGCGACAGCATAGATGTGGTGACCACACTTCTGCGCTCTTGCGCAAAGTGAGGGGGGGAGTGATTAATGAATCAACGTACATTATGCATGTGCATTATGCGAGCCATTTGATCTTGTCCTTCCTGTCCATTGGGTGTATTAAAATAGCTGTACCAATGGTAATCCCTATTGAAGTATGGTGCCCTTTATAGGCATGCATTTAAACAATGCATTGGTTAAATGGCGGGTGATGGCGGGTTTTAACGACACATTTATATATTTACGCGATCTAACCCAGAAAACCTCTTTTATGGATGATATTGGTCGCGAAAGCTAACGTGTTAAGCTGTGGACTTTTGTCAGTTTAAGGAAATAACGAAAGGCAGGCATGACAGAAACGAGACGCCTGGTATACAGGATGTCGTGGGTTCGATCCCGACCCTGATGAGATGTCAATTACCTCGCCAGGTATACAGGAGGTCGTGGGTTCGATCCCGACCCTGATGAGATGTCAATTACCTCGCCAGGTATACAGGAGGTCGTGGGTTCGATCCCGACCCTGATGAGATGTCAATTACCTCGCCAGGTATACAGGAGGTCGTGGGTTCGATCCCGACCCTGATGAGATGTCAATTACCTCGCCAGGTATACAGGAGGTCGTGGGTTCGATCCCGACCAAGACGCATGCTGTATATTTTGAGTTTGCGTGTCTCTCTCCCCGTGGTTGCGTGGATTTTTTTCCAGGTCCTCCGATTTTTCCCTACACATTTAGAATCAACGTCATGCGTTTAGATTATTCGGCTGCTATGTAATTCCACACGATAAGCCACTTCGTTGAGTTATGTTTTGTGGCCGGTTCGCTTCTGATTTTTTTTCTATACAGCTCAGCGGGCCTTACCTGGTTAAAAGCAATCGTTGTTTAGCTTTATAGTTTCATGCGGGGGTCATAGAGGTTACAGGGGAACCACGACAACGTTGACTCAATCTCTCAGGAAAGTGCACATTGAGGTTCATTTCAGAAAGTAGTCTTCTGCTCACACCGACTGGAAGGCTGCACACTCAGATCCGCCCCTGCCCCCCCCCCAGGCTTACATCCTCTTAGGAACTGGGGCACGGCAGAGAAAACCCCCTAGGGCACCGCAGCATCGCCCAGAGAGCACCGTCCAGTTTGTTCTCGCTCCTGTAGGGCAGCAGTGTGGGGGGCGGGTGACGATTAGATGGTGTTCTGCAAAGTGAGAGAGCTCGTCCAGATCAAGGGGCACGACTACGTTCATTTGTCACTTGTCCGCGCCCCCCGAGGCTTTAACCCAGGACCTCGGAAGGTGCTGGGTGAGAAATGCTGACATTTGCCGTAAGGCGACACAAGCCAACCCAGCCAGCCAGCAAATGCTATTGAGGTGGCGTTCGGGGTTTGGGGAGGGAAAGAAAAGAAAGAAGCCCACTTCAATTACAGTGTCCGGTTCGGCATCTGCCACCGAAGCCCCATTATTAGCACACCCACGTCAATGGCATGCTAATGGTATTGTATATAGTCGCGGTTTTGTTTCATAATGGTAAAATGATGAACGGACGCGTGTTGGACAAACAGCGGGCGGCAACAGACACTCTGAGCGTATCGTTGTCACGGACAATTATATTGAAGGAGCGTGCGGGTACGCGCGTGTTTATTTTATCGATTGCCATGTAGATTTGGGAAATGATACTCGGAACTCGGCAGGTGATGCGTGCGTGCGTATGGCGCGCGAGCGTTTAAAAGCGCCTTCTCACGTATTTCTCGAACAGATGATGCACCGTTGCATGGACAATTTGTTCCGAAGAAACGGCGCGCGGATGTGAGCTACGCTCTAAATAGGCTGCGCTATTTTCCCGTGCTGCTTGCCAGTATCAATCAATAAAAATGGAAACACCGTGGAAGAAAAATACCCGATATGACACATGTCTACATAGGCAAACTATGTTTCCTTTGAACGCAGCTGAGCAATTACGCTGTAACATTTGAGCCTCTGTCGCGTTAGCTACTGGGTTTCCAATTCACTTTTTTTTATTAGAATAAGTGCTGTTTACTTGAGAGAGAAAAATAGGATGAATAAAAAAATAGATAGAATAAATGGAAATGGAAACGTGCTTCCAAAAAAACATAGAGACATTCCTTAACATTCACTTAAATAAATGCCTTGAAATAAGTGTAAGTAGGTTACACGTGATGAATTCCATCCAATAACACAAAGTAAAAAAAAATGCTCAACTGTCAACAGAAAGGGTTAATTGCCATCACGTGGCACTTGTAGTGGCCATTAAAGGAAAGCAATTCCATCTCGGTAAATGTAAAAGTCACTGAACTTATGTGAATATATTTTTGTTATTCTATCAAGCGGAATTAGCTTTGCTATTTCTCATTGGCAACCTAGTGAGTGTGATTAAGAATAAGTGAGCTCTGATACATAGCATAGTAGAAGCCCATTGAGACTAAAACACAATGAGATCGTGAAGGTTAAAATCGGTTCAGACTTTGGTTGATTAAACAAACGCTGTTGGAAAGCATTAATTCAGAAGGCCAGTAGGCTGATGAAAAACCATGAAATGTTATTTTGCACGGAAAAATGGACTATCTGTCTGTTTATTAGATAATAATTACCCATGAGCCTCCACCAAATTAAGGATCAAACAAAATAAAAAAGAGAAAAATTAAAAACACAAAGTACAAAACAAACAACGCAGGATATAGCAGTGCAATTGTTTCACAATATTAAAACAAATGTAAACTTAACATTCAAAATGACAGATGAATATTAAAACTTAGAGATGAATTACATTAGTCTAGGAAATGCAGGCATTTCAACTGCATTACAAAAACGTTCACATTTATACTGCTTAAGTAAATACTTTTAAAGCGTAATGAATACTATAGTCACGGAGATGGCATATTTTGTAAATGTCATGCAGATGAAATTCTATTCGATCTGTGAGGAGCATCATTGTGATTAAACTAATGCTGCTGGTTAACGTAGTTTTCTTCTGGAAGTGCTTAGGTTTACGGACAAAACATATTTAATGTCAATGTAAAGGGACAAAGGGAAATCAATTAATTGATATTGATACCCGCAATGCTTAACAACAGCACCAGACAGGGCCCATAGTTATGAGTATTCTCGCCAATAACATTTGATAATACGGAAGATTTTTATCAACAAGCCTGACTCGGCTGAAGAGACCAAAATAGTCAAAGTCATGCACAATTTCCTTGCTTTAAACAAACGCTGTGAGAACACATTTGTCTGTAAAGCATATACAGTGTAAATTTGTACGTGTTTATGAAAGTGCACTTATTTATTAACTGGAACGCTTCGTGTGGATTTGGCAAATTTAGTATAGAATTTACAGCCGTTTGTCAAACCATGTCTGGATGCCTGTTGATCTTATTTCGCACCCGACGTAGCCAACCGTGCTCATCGCAGGTGCGGGGAAGAACAACGAATGGAAGTCGACTTGCCCTTTGTCGGTCACTGGGGCCGTTTGACCATACTTCACCATGCTGGTCAGTGTAGGCTGGCGAAGAGCTGCCCATGACTGGTCCAGGCTATCACTTGCCACTGACGTTGAGTCGTGGCCGGGAATATTATTTGATTCGCCAGGTTCACAGTGCAGGGCATTAACCGCAGCACCACCACCACCACCGCTTCACTCCCATTTTGAGTTTGAGTGTATGAATTTAGTTGGGGATTCTTGTAGCATAGTGGTTCACACACACAGCTATACGATCCCACCAGGCCAAGTTCAGTAATACCAGCGTCATGGATACCAGCGGAAATTGCTTTTTGAACCTGTGCCTTCACACCTCTATGGTCAACTCGGTCTATAGTGAGCAATCAGTTGCATGTGTCAACATGACGGCAAGGAGAGGCCTTTGTGCTCCCAGCCTCCAAACTGTCACTTAAGACAGGCGTTATATAAATGCAGGCTTCATTTGCTTTAATTACACATGCTTTAGTTTTCATATAGGTCGACTGGTGCTGAACTGGTGCCAGCAACGGGGATTTGACCGCATTTCTCAGAATGCCCCCTGCCTGTGAGTCTATTGTTAGAGGTGTGAACTGCTTAAGCTCGTTCCGGGGGTGTGATGGTTATTCTCAGGTCGCCATGGTTACGGAAGAGAAGGAGGAAGAGGAGGACGACATGCAGACGAATGGGACAGCTCACGATGGAACTGCTGCTTTGTGAACAGAGGCAGAACTTTGTTCAGCGTCTCCATTCATAAATAAAATCATGTTTTAGTCTATAAAACGTATGGCTTTACAAACCTTAATTATGAACCAATTACCGTACAACGTAATTAACGTAACAGCCCTTATATACAGTGCTCCGTATATTAAATTTTCCAAATGCATTGTAAGCTGTTTAAAATAAATAATAAATCCATTATACTTCTATCGACCCCTCTCTACAAAAAACATATTTTTGGCCATTAGATAATTATCAGTCCAACGCTATCCAGCAAGATTTATTTAAGCAAGTAAGTTCGGACTTCTGGGTTTGTAGTCAGCCTTGGTAAATTCCACTGCTGTTGCGGCTGGATATTGTTTGGCAAAAGGACCCCATCCAAATGATGGAGGGCTATCTTCGACGCAACAACAATAAAATCAATCTCGTATGCAAGCACGTGGCTGAAAATGAACTTGAATACATCGCTGCTTTTGTGAGATCACTTCAGAAAATATTGCATTTTCAATGAAAACTGCAGAAGAAAAATATTAAATAAATGTGGATATCTCAGAATGTGTTTTTGTTGTTTAGAAGCCGAGAGGTGGCTTGCTTTTTGGATTAGTTGCACACGCACTCCATCACACACGCGGACACGCGCGCACAGAAAGAAGAACCCCTCCACCTCAAAAAGACAAAGTTCCCCCGTATAGCCTTAACAGACTGTTGGGGCAAGTTACTTTAGCGAGCAGCACCTATGGAGGCCTGAACGGTACACGAGAAGATGAATGGCCAGATCCACGCCTGACCGCCTTTGTCTCCCCAGTGGCGATGTTTTTAAACACCGCACCAGGTACTTATTTAAGTCTGAGTCGACTTAGGGGAGGCCCAGCACTGGTTCAGATAATCGCCACTGGTGTTGGCCGTGAGGGTGAATCGAACTCGGGTTACCAGGTTCGTAGCGCAGCGCGCTAACCGCTACACCACCGCTCCCCACAACCCCCACCCCAACACACATGCCACTGAAGAACAAAAAAAAGTGAAATAGCGGAGGAAATGTTTTAAAATAATAATAAAAATAAATCATTGATGTTGCTCAATTTGACTCGAGGGGGGATCCAAGTTCTTGCCTTGAGGAAGTGCTCGGAGTGTTTCTCGCGCTTGCTCACACGCACACAGGGGACAACACAATGATGGGCAAATGAATCATGTGTGTGTGTGTGTGTGCAAGGCGTGTAAACATCCTGTCCAGCAGAGCTAAGCCTGTGCGGGCTTTAATTAGCTCCCAACCTCCGTTACAACTCGACACTGCTCACCTGCGGCAACCAGCCTACATCAACGCACCTCGTTCACTCACTCACTCACCGCCTTTTCCTCCACCGCTGTTTCTTTAACATTTTTTTTGTTAGATTTTTTTTCATGCCCCCCCCTCCTCCTCCTCTGCTCCGCCATCACCTGCACCCCAACCCACCCCCGAATCTTTCACCTACGAGCCGCCGCCGCCCATCGCTACGATGTGGGTGCGTGCACGCCAGTCGCAAGCCGTCACCTGCCCGGAATGCAATTACACTCGCGCTATTACCTGCAGCGAAAGTCTGGTCCCCGTTGTTTTTTTTCCGATACGTGTCCCATTTCCAAACAACTCAGAACAAGCTCCGAGGCACAGGAGGAGGAGGAGAAAGGGGGTGGGGGGGATGCACGCGCTACCGCCTGCCCAATACAGCAGGCGACTTCGTCCGTTTCCCTTTGTGCCCTTTTCATTTTCCGTGGCCTATAAATGCGCGGGTCACCTAAAATAACAGTGGCCCCACGTTTGTTTGGCGCTCACGAATTTGGTGGACGGTGGCTTACTTACTGTGACCTTCCCCCCGTGGTGGTGGTGATGCATGTGGCTCATTACCGGACTTGCTTCCTGACGTCTTTTACAAAATAGAGGATCACCTTCTCTCGTAATCGCGCGTATTGTTGCTCTTGAAATATTTTGTTTTTTATTTATTTTAGTTTTGAATGAGCAATTTAGAAAACAATACATCATCTTTCATTATGCGTGTTTTTTTGTGTGTGGGTTAGATCGCGTAAACATGGATGCGTCGTTAACCTCGCCAGGTTTGTCACGTAAACAGAACATGCCAATTTGTTACGAGTACAGCACACCGGTGTGTTGGAGAGTAAATCCACAGCATTTACCATCTCTTATTGCTGTTTTTTTGTTGCTGACCCCTGCTTTAACCGAACAAGTATGGGCAGAACTGTTTTCGTTTAACGTTTGTAATTTTGGGGGGGGGGGGTGCAATGGACAATCGGCCATTGGTGACAAATATTAATTTATCCGTGTGCGAGGAGTGGTCTAAATATTTTCTGGAGATCCCAAAATGTTCACACATTCATGTTCAGCTTATATAAAGGCTATTAATTTTGCCGTGACGTTAATATAGACGATTTTCTTGTGCAGGGGGTGTTCTTTTGCTGAAAAATGCATTTCTGAATGAATACATTAGACACGTGAATATTAAAAGAAATCGCATTGAGCACTGTAGTGGGGCATTGGTAATATTGTATCTCCACATTCAATCAATATTTTAGTCTATCAGCCTATTGGCCTTCAATAAACATGTTTATTAAGTTAACCATTTATTTAAACATGCAATCAAATAAATGCATGTGCCCAGACACATCGGAATTGAAATATATGTTTATGTTTTCTTAATGTAGTTAAACGTCAACTTTTAAAGGAATGGTTCCAAAAATGAAAAATTCAATATTTATCATCCATTTGCCTTCACTGGTTAATTGATTGTAAACGTTATACTATACTTGCAAATATTTTAAAAATTCCTTTTTCACATGTTGTTTATAGTGAATGTAAATCCATGCATTCGCACAAACACATACACAGCAAAATGTCTCTGTATAGCCTTTAACAGTCTGTTGCAGCAAGTGCTGTTAGTGAGCACCGATTAGGGCCGGCACACTGGGGGTGGTGCGGACAGAACTACACCCGACCGCATTTGTCTCCAAAATGCCGAGGTTAACACATCAAGCTGGACAGTTGTGTAGGGGCGCCGCAGTGGAATGATGTTAACTACCTCGCCTGCTATGCAGGAGGTCGTGGATTTGATCCCGACACCGATGCCTCTCTCTATATTTTTGGAGTTTGCATTTCTATCTTCCCGTGGTCTCGTGGATTTTTCTCTGGCTCCTCCGGTTTTTCTCTCCACATTTCTAAACACGCGTTTATGGTATTTGGCTGCAATAAATTTCCACGTGATAAGCTACTTCTTTAAGCGATCATTTGTGACCATGTCGCCTCTGGAAAAGAGATATATATATCTCAGTGAGCCTTACCTGGTAAAATTAAAAACATATATAGTATGACTGAGTCTACCTAGGGGAGGCCCACTGATGTTAAACGTGGAACAAGGAATTAAACTTTGCCATTCATCTGCACTCCATGCATAAACTGGATGCTTCTTAGCAGTGCATATGATGGATTTGGCGAAGTCACTCCGCACACTAGCATTGGAATTTCAGACAGCTTACATAATCCAGTGCTTAATGTGTCTATTACGCACACTGACTTTCACCGGAACTCACTGCCTCGTTTTCTTAATACCCTACAAACACATTCCTGCGGAGAGAGCTGGTAGGAACGTTGGGTTGCTCGGTCAATGGCCAGGGTCAATGGCGGCGTGGTGTATTCCGCAAATATGCCCGACTGTGAGGGCGGGCACACGCCGGCGTGAGTAGGTTAAACATTGAGTTTTATAAGGGCACCACGGGGTGACCAGCCCCTCCCCACCCAGCCCCACCCCTACCCAGCCCCACCCTCCCCACCCAGCCCCTCCCCACTTTCCCCTCCCCACCCAGCCCCTCCCCACCCTCCCCTCCCCACCCAGCCCCACCCTCCCCACCCAGCTCCTCCCCACCCTCCCTCCTTACCCAACCCCTCCCTTCCCACCCAGCCCCTCCCTGCACGACGGACGGACACAATAATCCCCCTGAGGTTCCTACTAGTAAAACCGCAGACTAAGTTCGTCTAGTCACACGCATTACAGGTGACGTGAGCTGCACTAACTTCACAGACGGCAGCAGAACAGAGGGTGAAGCATAGAATAGGATTTTGTATGTATCCATAATACAGCTTTTTGGGGTAAAAACAACCTGTATTATGGATGAATTTGGTCGCAAAAGCCGACGCGTTAAATTGTATGTAGGTACGTTGAACTCCTTTCGCACCGTACGTAGCCAACTGTGCGAATCGGAGGTGCGGGGAAGGACTTCGAACTGAACACAAAAAATCTGTTCTAAAGAAATTGGTTTTCAAAAAAGGTGAAGTGAAAGTGAAGTGAATGATAAGGATGTGTGTTCATTTATAAAGTACATCATCTCAAACAGAACACAATTATACACCCTGTGATGTCAATCAGTTGCCACTATGTGTCTTTGCCAAGGCCGTAGCCATGGAGTCAACATTGGGGGGGAGCAAATCTTCCAGGGGGTCTGGGGATCCAGCCCCCCCCCCCCCCCAGAAAAAAAAATCTGAATTTGAAAACTCATTTATTGCCATTTTCTGCCTAAAATATTAAAAAATTCACTAATACATAGGATGGATTTTTTTTTACAATAATGTCTAATAGTGCATTGTATTACATTTCTCTGTTTTTTCTTTTTTACCTTTTCTTGTTTCATTGTATGTAATGGCAGAGATTAGGGATTAATAAAGTACAACCATAACCACAATCATATAAACACAAATCTATTTTACAGCAATATATTTGGGGGGGACATTTTGAGCATATTTGAATATTGGGGGGGGATGTGTTGGGGGGGGGGATGTGTCCCCCCCAATATATATTATAAGTACGGCCTTGGTCTTTGCAATCCGTGGGGATGGTCTCCACGAGCCGTGCCAGACATGGGCACATTGTTTGACCATGCTCCACTACACCGGTCAGTCTGGCTTGGTGAAGTGAGGAGGAAGGAGCCTGGAGACCGGTTCAGATATCACTCATCACTGACGTTAGCCATGGCCAGACATCAAACTCAGGTCTCTGGTTTCGTAGGGCAGTGTGTTGACCACTCCTCTGGTTTCGTAGGGCAGTGTATTGACCACTGCTCCATCGCGCTACCATCATGTGTCTGTCGTAGCCCAAACAGCCAATGGGAAAATTACCGAGCTATAGATTGTACGATATTTTAACAGTGGCATTTGTCTCCCTTGCAATGGAAGTAATGCATCACTGTTATTGGCTTCGCGTCTGGTTAATGGAAATTAAATGCATTGGTGAAAATTTAAAATCAAACAATTCCTCAAGGTTTCATTTATTTGATTCAGATTAAGAAAGCGGCTGCATTGGCAGTGGTACATGACCACAAATGTTCACCAACTTTGCCACAGACACTTCTTCCCCCTACCACCATTCACCATTCTACAACTGGACATCTGTGACAA